TACAGATTCGCTAGAGGAATATTAAATTTCGTCCTTAATCCACGCTGTTTTTCCTCTTGGTTCAATTGAAGGGGAAAGATTTTTTCGCGGGTGTGGTGGTGCACTGAACGACTTTTGTAACTCTCGATGCCCCGACCGCGGTATAAACTCCTATTTTGGAGAGCAACACATTTCTGGAATTTATACTTTATAGTTGTTTGCCTGAGCTGCTGTTTAAAATTAAATCGCGGATGATTTTGTTAATTCCCGTTAATGAATAAACTCCTCTGTGCTTTTTTGAACTGTTACTTTATTACATGCAGTACGTAAATGTATGGTCGTTTTTTCCTTCGCTTTTGCGCAGGTTGAGACGTTTTGGTCTTTTAAGAAACTGCAAAACTTTTTTAAGTGGTATCGTGGCGCGTGTTAATGGGTCAAGAACCGCATGGTTTGCTTTCTTATGTACGACACAGGTTTAAAGAATTGCAGATCGATTTTCATGCGTTTTATAGCTTTCTGTCACAAACTAGTGAGGATTGTTCCCGAGCTACGCTGTTGATCTGGTTGAAGTTAGGTTTGATTTAGCTCTAAAATCAAAGTTTTTTATGTTTCAATTAATTTCGCTGTTGCAGACTCATGGCAACTGCTATAACTGCCTAAATTATTAATTGGTTTCATAACTTTAACTACAAATTAAGTTAAATAGCAAGTGACTGCTATTTTCTGTTAGCTAGTATTTTTTGCCATTGACATTCTTCTTGATTTCCTCTGTGGAACATTTTGAAAGCAATAACAGTCCGCTGTTTGGAACTCTCTAGCTCAATACAGGGATGAGTTCCCATCCTACGATCGGTTTACTTCTTTCTAGCCCTGCAGTCGGAAAGGGAGAACTGCTAAATTTCACCACCCATTAAGTATTACGTTGACGTTGCGCAAATTCGTGATATTTTTCGCGTCACTACATTTGGAGTAACACCTGAACCAAACACGTGACATGCATTAGATGGCTTGGTTGGCTGAATCCGCAACAACTGAAACAGATGCACTCGTACATACATTGTCATAACGAGTACCTTACAAAGGATCATTACAAGGAAAGAATCTGTACGGTAAAGATCTCAGCGGTTTGCCTTAGCAGCATATTATCAGGAAATCTGACAAGACACATATCTTCTGATGCATCTTTAAAATTTTCTCCTCGAATACTTTCCTGAAACCCTTTTCAAGTTTCTTAGGTCTTTTTTTCTGCGTTTTTCCACTGTACTAGTTAACTGAACTTCCGCAGCCTTACAAAGCAGTTTTCTTTTGATAGTACGGAAATACAAAGATTGTTAACTCGTTGTCGTTATTGGTACTGTTGAAGTCATATATCAACATCCGATGAGGTACTACCGACGGAAGTTTGAGTCGTTGGTGCTGGAGAATGCGAGTAAGAACATATTTTCCAGTGTTTGATACCATTATTAGTGCAACATCTGGTGCTAGAACTTTTAGCAGAAATACTCCAACATCTTTTTGGTTTCGTTTCAGTCAAAACTCTGAACGTATGAGATACATGTAAAGC